GAAATAAAAAAAGTACAGAATGGCTGGAATATATGGTATCGTGTGAGGAGTGGTGGAACTTGAAGAGGTAAGCAGGGTGAAATCATGACAACAGTTTTAAACTTTAGTGAGGTCTTTATCTAGGAAAGTTAAAAGGCCATAAAATAATTTTGAGGTATGTGGTATGACCAGATTTGTAGTTTGGCTTCAATGAAGAAGGACTATCAGAAGCTGCTCCAGTGAGGTAGGTGAGAGGTGAGGATCTGAATGTTTGTGGGAGTTGAGATAGAGACACAGGGACAGATAGCAGTAAGGGAAGGGAGAAAAGGGAGGCATTTAGAAACACTCTAGGGTTTCTGGAGGGGCCACTGCATGCATAATTTCATTCTCTGAGATAGTACACCGGAGAACAGGTTATGGAGAGAAATGAGTTGAGTTTGGAGAAGGTTGTATTTGAGAGGCTCATAGGACATATCTGAATATAACCCATATAAACAAGTCTGAATACATATTTAAAAGTTGAAAACTTAAAAGAATTAAGTTGTTTTGTGCATATAAAGTATCAGTTATGAAAACAAGGATGATAGGGAAGTGAATAAGAAAATATAACTCTAAATACATGCTTAAGGAAACTAAAAGAACATGGAAGTACTGGTAAGATGTAAAATAAAGCAATTTGTGATGCAAAACGGAAAATTAAGGAAAATAAGGATATTAAAAAATCAAAACCCAATTGTCATCAGGAACGAATGTGTTTTCTACAAATGCTTCCCATGAAATGAGCGTATTCTTTTGCTGTTAGAAAGCCATGTGGTATTTTGAACTAGAGAGTTTGCTGGAAATTGTAATTGTTTAATAGAATACAGTAACTGGACACCCCAGCCTGATAATTAAATAAAACAAAAAAGCCTTTGCCAGATACAGAGAACACAGTTACCTCATGCATTTGGCATAGACACATAGGGAATGCGTGTTTTCTTCCTCTACAAAGAAAATACATCTAAAGAGAGTGTAAAGAGTTCATCTCCACACAATTGACATGTGATCATCATGAGTCCAGACTAAATGTATTAGGAAAAAAATCCTGGCAGACTTCCTTTCTTTTCATTAAGCAATGACATAGCACAAAAAATGGCATTGCTTACAACATTTCGACAGTCTTTGAAATCACATGTTTTGAAACATGACTTACAGTGGAAATACATGATCTAGGCCAGAGTTATAACTATATACAGTAGGCATGCGGACCACATTTCCCATTTTTACTGCACAATAGAGAAAAACCTATATTCCTATTGCATCTAATGTTTGTGTGAATTTATATCAGCTAGAGCAAGAGACTATATATAGATCATACATGGCAGATACTTATTTCTTGTTTAACATTTAGCACACACATACAAACACACAGATAACTGAGCAGTGTTTTCTTTAAAGTGGTGGATTTTCATAGGTTGGTGGCATTTTCAGAGTTCACATAAAAAGTAAAATGGATATACTACTATAAGTACAATGGACAATCTAGTGAAAACAAATACCAAATCCCACTTTGAGATATAAAATGATATAATTCAGATGCCACTGTCATCTAATCTTCCAGCTTCTGAATCCATGGGTATTATTTATGTTTTTGTCATGTAATACAAAGTAACTTTCTTTGCAAACCCTCCCCCCCAAATTTATGGAAAAGCAGTTACTGGAGATTCTGTAAGAAGTGGTAATTAGTACCTCCAAAACTCATATCATGAACTCTTGTTTGATTTCTAAAATTAATTTCTCTTCTTAATAAAACTACAACTGATATGTCTTATGCAAAGTTAAGTACTTAGATTGAAAACAAAATAAAACTTATTAAAAATTATCACTGTGGCCCTGGCCCCTGTGGCTCAATTTGTCAGAGTATCGTTCTGTATACCAAAAGGTCATAGGGTCAATTCCTGATCAGGGCACATACCCAGGTTTCAGGTTCCCAGTTGGGGTGCAATAGATCGAGTTTCTCTCTCACATTGATGTTTCTCTCTCCATCTCCTTTCTTTTCTCTCTAAAATCAATAAAAAACATATCCTTGGGTGAGGATTTTAAAACATAAAATAATTTTTAAAAAATATATCATTGTGGTTGTAGACTAGATGTCCCAGAAACTTATATACAAATGCTTAAGGGTGATAGAGATCCTGTAGAGGCAGTATGATTACTTAGAATCTAGTCATTTTGTTTCTGAGTTACTGAATCCATACTTTTCACTGAATAAAACCGAAGAAGATGACTTTTCACTACGGTATATATTTTGGTACAGATAATTCCAAATCATAGATAATCAAAAAAATTTTATTTGGATTTTGAATATTTTCATACATAAAGTAAAATATTCTGTAAATTTGTAAACTTCAAACAAAATAATGCCCAGTGAAAAATTAGAAAGTTATCAACCTTTCTCAATGTAATGCTAACGATATTAAAACACTCCCTTACATTTTATGCCTACTCCTTGCCCAGAAATGAACTCTAAACTCTTTGACATGGCATTTGAGATCCTAAATAATCTTCTTAACCTGTTTACTCAGTAATTTCTGTCCACATCCTTCTCTTTCTAGAACATGTTGTAAACTTTCAGTTTCATGTCCTAGTTCATGGTATTCCCTTAATCTGTTATGGTTGTTTTCATTCGTCAAAAGCCTGTACATTTTTCAAGCCCATGTAATCTGTCATTTTCTCTGCAACATCTTCTTTATCTTGCCTTCAAGTAGTTTTAATCCTTCCTTCTTCTGTACTTTTCCTACTACTATTAAAATTAAATTTAAGTGTTAGAAGTTTTTATTCCTCCACAGTATTATACTCTAAAGGAAAAAGTCTTACTTATTTTGATTTCACCCCAAGCTTCACACAAAGAATGAGTAGGATACCCAATAAATACTGAACAGACATAGTCTTGATTTATGTAACAAACAGAGAAACAAACTTTTAAAATAATCCTTACCTATATAAAATGTATAAACCACATCCCACTGATTATTTTGTCAGTTATTGTTAGAATAAAAAAAATCATTGGACTTTGGATAAGAATGAACGTTTACTCTAAACATAAATTTTCCTTTGTAATCCTTTTGGTGCTAACTAAATCAAACAACTAAATTTCTCTCTTGCAGTCAGGCAAAAAATAGTTATCTAAAAATCCAGTGAAGTATCTGTAAAAATAAATAAAAATTAAGTAAAAGATCCTTACTAATACTACTAGAATATCAAAGTAAGTGTCATTTAGTTTGTTAAACTCTTTTGTATGTTAAAGGGTTAAAGACATTTTGAAGACTAAAGAGATTAATTCAATTAAATGTAACTTTAAGGAAAAATAGATCTATGCTAAAGGGTCAGTGTTAAATCACGGTCATGAAATATTTTTTTATAACTCTCTAAAAAATCTAATAATTGATAATATGTTGAAATTGCATTCAATATTGCTCTATGACTGTAGATCAAGTGTCAGCAAATTATAAACCTGGCTCCTAACCTATTTTTTTGTAAATTAAATTTTACTAAAACACAACCATACTCATTTGTTTCTGTATTATTCCTGTCTGCCTTTATTCTGCAAAGTTGAGTAGTTCAGACAGAGATTGTGTGCTTTGCAAAGCCTAAAATATTTATTTCTGGCCCTTTAGAGATAATTGGCCAACTCCTATTGTAGATAATCAGTTAGTAAAAATCTGGTTGAAAACCAAGCTAGTTTGTATATGTGAGAATGTATTATTCTAGACTTTAGAATACTTATGCAAATTTTCCTTCTCAAAACCAAAAAAAAAAAACATTAAAAAAGGTACAAGGGAGCTCCAGTGGTACAATCGGTTAGCACTCGGTACTTATAAAAAAGGTACAAGGATGTTATGACCCAGCATGCCCTCTTTTGGGTATTTACCTGGAAAATTTGAAAATACATATATGTAAACATATATGTACGCCTGTGTTCACTGCAGCACCATTCTCAATAGCCAAGACTGGAAATAACCTAAGTATCCTTCAAACAATGATTAGATAAAGAAGGTATGATCAATATACACAGCCATAAAAAATATGAAATATTTCCATTTGCAACAATATGGAAGAATCTTAAGAGTATAATGTAATGCTAAGGAAATAAGTCAGATGGAAAAAGGTAAGAACCATATGATTTCAGTGATATGTGAAATATAAATACAAAAAGTATCAAGCAGCCCTTGTTGGTTTGACTCAGTGGATGGAGTGTCCACCTGTGGACTGAAGGGTTCCTGGTTCAATTCTGGTCAGGGATACAATTCTGGGTTGCAGATTCTGTCTCCGTAGGGGGCATGCAGAAAGCAGCCAATCAACAATTCCCAGTCATCATTGTTCTATCTCTCTCTTCCTCTCCTTGCTCTCTGAAATCAATAAAAAAAAAAAAAAAACATATATTTTTTTAAAGTAACAAGCAAACAGATGAACTCATAGACACACCCAACAGTATGGTGGTTATTAAAGGGGAAAGGTAGTGACGGGAGGATGAAGAGGGTAAAGAGTGTCAATACATGGTGACAGAAGGAGATCAGACTTTGGGTGGTGAGCACACAATGGAATATACATTCCATGTATTATAAAGGTAATATATAATGTTATTAACCAATATTTCACCCAAATTTATTTTTTTTAAAGGGATGTCATGATCAGAAATGTACAGATGTCAACTAGATAGGAGAGATAAAAAGGCATACATGCAAAATATTTTTTAAAGAATCAATTATTTTATTTCAATATCTTTAACATATGCCTAGTTGATTATTTTTCACTAACTAGAGAAAGTAGTGGCTGCCCTTTATATTTGAGTATACCACTGAAAAGAATCTTTTCTACCACTGCTGTTTTACTAAAAAGAAGAAACTTAATTCTTCCTATAAGAATAAAGGCTTAAAGGTAAATATAATTATTTTTTTAAATGAGAAGAGGAAAAGAAGAGGAAGGAGAGAGCATAGAGGGAGAGGAGAAGGGGGGAGAGAGGAAAAAGAAGGTACTATACCTCATTCTCTAATTGATATGAAGCCAATCTGTGTACCAAAATTAAGGCCATCGCGGATATGGGAGAAGAACTTCTCAGGATGGCAGGATGTACAGAGGTTGAGATCTTGCATCAGGTCCTGGATATTTTGTGGTAGAATTCCTCCTTGTTCTAGAAGAACCCTTAGGATGAAGATTTTTCAAAAGATAGCAAGTTCATTTTACCAAAAGCCAAAGCAATATGAAATAAGTTCGGATATTGGTATAAAAGAATTCTGGAAAGATATGCTTCGAACAATGCAACTATTATTCAGTTACAGAACATGGACTAGTCAGGAAAGGATAGATTTTATCACCATTTGTCACCTACATTCATATATAAACTATAGAATCTTTCTTATTATACTGTAATTATAATCTGGGTACAGAATTTTGTAATAAAAATCAAGTTCTTATTTTAGAAGAAACTTTAAAGTTGTCAGGGTAGCCCTGACCAGTTTGGCTCAGTGGATAGAGCATCGGCCTGAGAACTGAAGGGTCCCAGGTTCAATTCCAGTGGAGGGCATATACCTTGGTTGTGGGCACATACCCAGCAGGGGGTGTGGAGGAGGCAGCTGATGGATGTTTCTAACTCTCTCTCCCTCTCTCTTCCTTTCTGTAAAAAAAAAACAATAAAATATATATATTTTTTAAAAGTTACCATGGTATTTATAGACAAGATTCCTTTGATTCAGATAGAGCATGCCTTTAAGTCATTTGATCCTATATTCTTTCTCCTATTACCAATTTTTTCACAGAGAATTTGCTTCTCCATAAAACTTTATGATATAAAATGTGACTATCAATTAGTGATAGTTATTCTGCAAGTAATATTGAAGAGCATATTTCAATCCTCTCTGCTAATGTGCTAAATGAGACAGAACCTAGGCAAGGTTTAGCTGAGTAAAATAAAAATATGATTCAAATCAGACATCAATTTTCCTTTGTAGAAAAGATAATAATGTTAACAGCTATTAATAGCAAAACATCATAAATTCAAAAATGTTAAGGGGCCATAAAAAACTTGAAAGTGACTATGTGTTTATAATATCTAATATTTTTGCTGAGAAGTATATTCCTCTAATAAGAGAATACAAAGAATTTTAAAATATCAGTTTCCTGATAGTTAATTATATTTAGGAGAATTTAGCTGAGGGATAACTATGAAGTAAAACACATTCCAACTTTCCTCTATGAAGTTTAACCTCCCTTTTAAATCAAAGAGATACTAGCCAGGAAAATGTCTGTTATTAAAACTTAGATGAGAACAGATTTCATATTTAAATTAGTTTTTTGTGTACATGTATTTGTCATCTATTTCAATATTTGCCAAATGAATTTTTCTTGGAATTAATAATTGTTCTCTAAATTAATTTTCATTGAAAACTTGCAGTTCTGGAAAGGAATCAAACATACCTGGTGGCTTTACGAATGTCAACATAGGGATTTGGTGAGTCAAATAGCCGCACACATTCAGGATCAATATTATGAAATGCACTTGCAGATTCCCTTGGAAGAGTAAAACAGCAAGGTCCTACTGAAGGTCCCAGTATGACAATAATATCTTCCAAACTGCAACTATATTCTGCTATCATAGCATTCACGGTAGCCATAGCAACACCTAGCAAAGTCCCTTTCCAACCTGGTAAATACGAAGAAAAAGAGATAAGGACAATTAAAACATAACAAAATTTCACTTTAATTTTTTTTTTAATCCTCATCTGAGGATATGTTATTTATTTATTTGAGAGAGAGGAAAAGAGAGGGAGAGAAAGAAACATCAACTGGCCTGACTGGGAATCAAACCTTAGACAGTTTGATAAGGGACAACGCTCCAATCAACTGAGCCACACCAGGCAGAGCAATTTTACTTTAATTTTTATCTAAGTTAAAAATAAGCACAGTTTCTTTTTTTTTTTTCCAAAACCAGAAATAGTAAATGAATCACAAAATTGAGCTAACTAATCACTTAACAAACTAAAATACTGGCTTTTAAATGAGGTATATTATAATGGCCCCTGTCACAGAAGATATTTAATGGGGTGTCCCTTCCACTTCCTTTTAAAAATGTCCTGTACTTTTAGTTTCCACTGGCATTATGCCTCCTTATTCTTCTCTCTTTCTTTTCCTCCCTTACTTTTCCCCCCTCATTTTTAAAAATTGTAAAAAATAAAATAAAATTTATAATTTTAACCAATTTAAAGAGACACTTAGTAGTGTTAAACTTATTTACATTGTTGTGCAACAACTCTCCACAACTTTTTCATCTTCAAAAATTTAAACTCTATAGGATATACAAGTTTTAAACAATTGATATCCCTTCTCACCTTCCCTGGTCCCTGGCAACCACCATTCTACTTTCTGTTTCTGTGAATTTGACTACTCCAGATACCTCATGTAAGTGGAATCATACAATATTTTTCTTTTTGTGACTGGCTTATTTCACTTAGCATAATGTCCTCAAGGTTCATTCATGTTGTAGCATGCATCAGAATTTCCTTATTTTTTTTTAATATGTCATTATTAATTTCAGAGAGAGGAAGGGAGAGAGAGAAAGATAGAAACATCAATGATGAGAGAGAAGCATTGATCAGCTGCCTCCAACACACCCTCTCCTGGGGACTGAGCCAGCAACCTGGGCATGTGCCCTGACGGGGTGCGTGGGGAGGGGAGGTGAGGGATGGAGCCTCAAACTCCTGGTTCATGTGTCTATGCTCAACCATTCAGCACAACAGCCGGGCTGGATTTCCTTCTTTTTTAAGGCTAGATAATATACCGTTTTATGTATATAGCACACATTGCTTATGTATTAATCCATCAACGAACACCTGAGTTGCTTCAACATCTTAGCTATAATGAATAATGCTATTATTACCAAGGGAGTTCAGATACCTTATTGAGAACCTTGTTTTCAATTACTTTGGCTACATACTCATAGGTAGAATTGCTGGATAATAGGGTAACTCTATTTTTAAAAAATTTTTAAAAAACACAATGCCATTTTCCACAGCATTGCACCATTTTACATTCTCACCAGTAGTGGATTAGGGCTCCAATTTATGCACATCCTCATCAACACTAGTTATTTTCCTTTTAAAAAATATTAGCCACCCTAATAGGTATGAGGTGATATCTCATTATGGTTCTGATTTGCATTTTCCTAATTATTTGTGATGTTGAGCATCTTTTCGCATGCTGTTAGTCATTTGAATATTGTCTTTGGAGAAATGCATATTCAAATACTTTGCCTATATTTTAAATAGGTTATTTGTTTTCTGTTGTTGTGGAGTTGTAGGAGTTCTTTATATATTCTGTATATTAATCACTTGTCAGATATATAAGTTGCAAATACTTTCTCCCAGTCCGTGAGCTATCTTTTCACTTTGTTGATCATGTCCTTTGATGCAGATAAATTTTAATTTTTATGAAATCAAATTTATTTTTAATTTTGTTGCTTGTGCTTTTATTGTCATATCTAAAAAACCATTGCCTAATCCAAGGTCATAAGAAATTACACTTGTTTTCTTCTCTGAGTATTATAGCTTTAGCTCTACATTTACTTCTTTGATTCATTTTTAGGATAATTTTTATATGTTATAAGATATAACCATCCATTTTTTCCATGTGAATATTCAGTTTTCCATCATCATTTGTTAAAGAGATTATCCTTTCCCCATTGTATAGTTTATATACCTGGTTAAAAATCAACTGACCATATATGAAATGGTCTATTTCTGGATTCTCTAGTCTATTCTATTGATGTATATATCTGTCTTTATGCCATTCTGCTTTGATTACTGTAGCTTCATAATAAGTTTTGAAATTAGGAAGTATGAGACCTCTAACTTTGTTCTTTTTCAATAGTTTCATTTTGTCAGCTTTATCTTTGATATTTTAAAAATGTTTTAAAGCCTAAAAAGTAACAAGTAACATTCCCTTTTTATATCCAGGAAATAAGAATCAAATTTTAAGTAACTTTAGCAATGTGTATTGGTCTAATTCTTTTACTTTAGCCACTTTCTTATTTAACGATAACCTAAAAAAGCAAAGTGGTCATAAATTTACAAATAGAAGGAAATCCAAAAGATCATTCCTCACTTCACATAGATATACAACTGGATAACCTAAAACAGTATTTTAAAACACCTCCAGAAAATAAAATTCCATAACCTTGGCACATAATCTAAAAATCTTTCTTTGTTCTTAGCATATTAAACTAAAGGCAACTTGCTAAATATTTCTCTCTCTTTTTTTTTTAACCTACATACCATTGCGCATGCTGCTGCATCTTTATGAACACCTCTCTGCAACATGCCTCACCTACCTAGTCCTCACTGTCTACACTTCAGGGCTTCTCAGTGACAGTGTCACACCCTGGGGAGTGTTTGAAAAGCATGAAGATGTTTTTTCTTTTTCTTTCTTTCTTCTTTTTTTTTTTTTTTTTTTTTAATTACAACTGGAAATTTAGAAAGCCAAACAAACTGTCTGCAATATAAGATTATCTTGCCCAAAATGTTCCCATCCCCTCCTGAGAAACACTGGCGCCCAGCCAAACTACAAATTCCTCAGGAATCAGCCTAGGTACCACTTTTGGGGGGAATTCTATTCTGATTAATATAAATTGACTTAATTTCTGCTTTTATCTGCTTCTATAATTGGAGTATGCTGAACCTACCCTTATCTTTATATTTATCACTATGTAAAGTAATGAACTGTTTATGTATCTGTTATACCTACCAGAAAAAAAATATATAATTTATCCTGTGCTTCAAAAATGGTAAAATCCTAAATGCTCAATTAAATTTGCTTACCAGCTTTGACCGGTTTTGCTCATTGGATAGAGCATCGGCCTGCAGACTCAAGGGTCCCAGGTTCGATTCCAGTCAAGGGCATGTATTTTGGTTGCGGGCACATCCCCAGTGGGGAGTGTGCAGGAGGACAGCTGATCCATGTTTCTGTCTTATGGATGTTTCTAACTCTCTATCCCTCTCCCTTCCGCTCTGTAAAAATCAATAAAATATATTTTTAAAATAAATAAGTAAATAAATAAATATGCTTACCAGAGTGAGCAACCCCACATGCTTTTTTGATAGGATCTGCAAAAACTATCGGTATACAGTCAGCACCAAGAGCTGCTATTGTGACTCCTCTCTGATTTGTGGTGATTCCATCATAAGATTCTGGCTCCTTCCTTCCCATAACCCAGACGTCATTGGCATGATCTGTCTAATACCAAAGATGTGCAATAAAAATGTTTTCAAAGTAGGATTTCTCAGACCATAAGCTTTTCTGGAAATATTCATTTTGTATAAAATTATATATCCAGTTTAAAATTATTAGCATTGATTAACTATATCACTTCTGTATATGGTAAAATACCAATTTATTATCATTTAACTTTAGGTATTATAATTTCTGCATATTTTATTCAAAGGAAAGCAGACTTTAATATGTTAAAGTTCAATACTGTCCTTCATGAATACCTCCTACTAGAGACAGTAAATCTCTACATGTAGTACTTTCCACAATGAACTAATTCATTGAAAGAAATTAATTACCATGTCAATGTTATTTTTACTTTTCCTAGATTCAATTAAAACTAGAATTTTGTAACAAACAAAGCACTATCTCATCAACTGTATCCTGGTGTTAACTTAGAAAATAATGGCCTTTCTCTTTCACAGTTCAGGAACCTTACTTCTAAATAAAAAACGGCAGTGATACTATATTCTCTGAGAGTTAACTGTACTTTTACATGTGAGGAGCTCCAGGTGAATGAATTTATATATACAAATATATATATGTGTGTGTGTGTACACATACATACACACATACATACATATGTATGCGTGTGTATATACACATAACATATATACATATTTACACACACATATATACACAACATAGAATTGTCATATATATGTGTGCATACATATATGACAATTCTACGTGTGAATACACACACACACAAATAGAATCGATTTTTAGGCTATGGTATACGGATCAAAAAACATCAACCGTAAGAATTATCCTAACATTTTACATAAAATACCAGATGCAAAAACTAAGTAGTTTGTTTAAGATCCATTAATCATTAGCAGGATGAGTAATATTCTTCAGATCTTTCAAAATATGAAACATAATTTTACCTTTATTCTGTAAAATTTCTTCACATTAAATCCTGCAGCATTCCCCAACCTACGCAGATTTTCTTGAACAACTACCTGAGGATCTCTTCGCTTGGAACTACTGAAGAGATTGAATGAGCTGAGAGTTGGTATGTAAGATATCCCACCTGTTCTTGTAGTAAATCCATGTATGAAAATATCTATTGAAGATAATGAAGATTAAAAGTATGTTATACAAAAGACTATAAAAAGCATTACAGACCCTATCTCTTGGTAAGACTATCCCTGATCATTTCAGCCTGCTTTTGTTTATCTAGCATCTAATGTTTATAGCACTTTGTACCTCCATATGTTTTTATTATACACTGCTTTGTGTTTGTTTTACCTTTCCTATGAATTTATTGCTCTTCAAAGGGTATCATCTGTCCCATTTGTCTTTGTTATTCCCTGTTATAGTCTATAGCTCATAATAAATATCACTTAACCAAGAAGACTGACTGTTTTAAATTTCACTCTTTTGTAATGATGACAATGAGTTAAGATTTCAAAATTGCTAAATAGGAAATATCATTTAAAGGAAGCCTGGGGATTTGTCTTATAGCTGAATTTGCATAAAGCAAAATTATTTACGTAGAGGCTTTTAAGGGACTATCCCTTAATATCCCTAACTCTATCAGACCACCCATGACTTTCCCATGTTTCAACTGATGGTAATGAGCACATAAGCCCACACAGTCTACAAAAGAAAGAAGGAAAAAAAGACGTGAACAACTTTTAAAGAATGACTGTTTTTTCACATGCCTGGTGAAAAACAACAGACAGTGTGTAATATACCTGAGATCAAAGGAGATGTGATAATGGTTAATTCTCCTTTCAGTGCTGGCAGACTTCTCAAATATGTTTCTATTTCATTCTGTACAGCTTCCAGTTCTTGAGTTGTGATCACGTTTATCTCAGTGGGCTGTTTCAAAAGACCTCCCTTCAAAGTTACCTGTAAGTCTTCAAACTCAAAATTGTAAACTTGAGTGAAGAGTTGATCAATAAAAGCCTTCATTAATGTCTTCCGGTGCATGGGTACAATTATCTTAATGCTGCTCAGATTTTTTTCATCAATTTTTTGTTTAATGGCATACAAAGAGGCAGCCATACTGGGATTGCTAACTATCTCAAATTCTCTTAGGAGAGCTGATAATCCATTGGCTGTTTCTAATTCATAAGTATCAAGGTCACTGTTCCTTTCACAGCTGATGTCACTGCAGCACATTATGCAAAGGAACTTGGCCTTGGCAGCATGGTGGGATCTCACAGCATTCAATGTCTTCAGTAATGTCTGGTAGCTTTTCTGAGAGTTCAATGTCAAACCAAATAGATCAATCAACACTGCTTCTGGCATTTCTTCAGTTATTGTATGAAGCTCTTCAAAGACTTTTGTGCCCCCCCCCAAAAAAAATCACCTGTAAAGAAATATTAGCATAAATAAGAATGCAAAATTAGATCAATCTTATAGTTACAACAGGAATATATGGCTAAAAATGTGACCAGAATTGTAACTCTAAACCCCTTCCAGAAAAGTCAGAAAATTGTCATAAGAGAATCATGACAATTAAAGCAAAGCTATTTCTTTTTATTTATTTTTTTATTTTATTGATTTTTTTACAGAGAGAAGGAGAGAGGGATAGAGAGCTAGAAACATCGATGAGAGAGAAACATCCACCAGCTGCCTCTTGCACACCCCCTACCGGGGATGTGCCCGCAACCAATGTACATGCCCTTGACCGGAATGGAACCCGGGACCTTTCAGTCCGCAGACCGAAGCTCTACCACTGAGCCAAACCGGTTTCGGCGCAAAGCTATTTCTTAATTCATTTTCCAAAAGGATATGTACATCTTTCCAGGAAATCAACAGTTCCTCTTTTTTGTTTTTATATAGGGAATTTTACCTGTTGACTTAGACAAAGTCCTGTTTTTTAGCTACATGGTACCAATTTAAGTAAGTGATATATCATTAATCCTGACATGACTGTCCTGTTAGGTCACATGCCTTCATAAGAAATACAGGGGCCTTGCGTTCAGTATGTGAAACGGAGCTGCACTTTAAAAACCGCGTTTTTACGAGATAAAAGCTGACATGATCATACATTTCTCTCCAGGATTTACACAATGCTCCAGGCATGGCAATGGCCACAAGGTGCCTGCGATCTGCAGGATACCCGCTTCCCATCTGCAGCCTCCTCCTCCCCAGCGGGCGCGGACATTCCACCGCAGCCCGCCTCCCACCAGCCCGTCTCCGGGGACCCCCTTCCCTGACCCCCGGCCCCGGCTTCCTCTCGCTCCCTACCGTCCAGGCCTCCCGCTCGGGTGCATCGCGCCGGTTTTGAAAATATTAAGAGCAGTGCGGGGTGACCGGGAAATTCCACAGAGCGCGTCTGTCACAGGCGGCTCCAGGCCACCCGGTCTCCACCCGCCCGGACCCGCCCCGCCCCTCCCCGCGGCCCCGTCCCGCCCCTCCCGGCGCCCCGCCCCGCGGGAACTTCCGGGCGGACCACGCCCTCCGCGGGCCCCGCCCCTCCCCGCGGCCCCGTCCCGCCCCTCGCGGCGCCCCGCCCCGCGGAAACTTCCAGGCGGACCACGCCCTCCGCGGGCCCCGCTTCTCCCCTCGGCCCCGTCCCGCCCCTCCCGGCGCCCCGCCCCGCGGGAACTTCTGGGCGGACCACGCCCTCCGCGGGCCCCGCCCCGCGGGCCCCGTCCCCCGCCCCCCGCACTACACCTGAGCCCGCAAAGCCCGCGGCCTGCGGTGAGGCTCGTCCCAACCCACCCACCCCACCCCGCCCCACCCCAACTCACCTCACCCCACCCCAACTCACCCCATCCCAAAGCCCGCCCCCTTCCCGAGCCCAGCCCACGGCTCCCGGAAGCCGCGGGCGAGTCCCCTGAAGTCTCAGTCGGGCTCCGCGGGCAGGGACCGCTGCGGACTCCGCGCCGCCTCACCCACCTCAGCGCGGGCCTCCGACTCCGCCGTCTGCGGACGGACCGCCGGGCCCGCCTGCCTGAGCCCCGCGTCTGCGGACGGTCTGCCGGGGAGGCGAGCGGCTGGGAGGCCGCGGCGAGTGGGGAGGCGGCGGGCGGCGGAGTCAGCAGTTCCGGTGAAGGCGGCCCGTGGAGTCCGCTCCCCGCGGCCCATGGAGGGAAGAAGAACAGGAACCAGAATGCCCAAAGGGCGAGCGGCGGGCGGCGGGGGGCGAGCCGGGCGGGAGGGGCGCGGGCGGGAGGGCAGGAGGGAGGGCGGGCGTCCCGGGTCCCCTGGCGCGCCCTCCGCGCGGCCCGGCCGCCCTTCCTCGCAGCGCGGACGGCTGGCTGCCCCGCTGTGGGGTCGGGAAGACCGGGCCGTAGCACCTGGCAGTCTGTTTGGTCCACGGTTTAAGTCATGGCCTCCTAAGGGAGGTTTTTGTTTTCTGTTTTTAGTTTCAGAAACGACTTAGTGGATGGAACCGTGCATCGCCGTTCTCGCCGGGACCAGCACTGCCCGCTCCTCCCGGCGCTGACAGGTGCTCCGCTCGCCCTTAACCCGCCGCCGGCCGCCAGGGTGGGAGCATCAGCTCCGCGCCTGAAGGTCCCGGGTGGGATTCCTGGTCAGGGGTGTGTTGGGGGGGTAGGGGGGGAAACAGACATTCTGTCTCCCTGTCTCCCTCTCCCTTCCTCTCTAAAAATCAATGAAAACATATCCTCAGGTGAGGATTAAATAAATAAAAATATGTGCCACTAGTAGAAAATTAGAAGCTACTAACCATTAAAATTGTGGTAACAGTGCAAGTTAGCATACTCTACCAGCCCCCAAGGAGTATAACATTCATTTATTTAAAAATTTTAAAAAACATATTATGTGGAAGATGGATGCGATGGTAAAGAGTAGGAGAAAGATGCCTAAACCGGTTTGGCTCAGTGGATAGAGCATCGGCCTGCGGGCTGAAAGGTCCCAGGTTCGATTCTGGTCAAGGGCGAGTACCTTGATTGTGATAGAAACAGATCAGCTGCCTGTGCAGGAGGCGGCTGATCGATGTTTCTAACTATCTCTCTCCCTTCCTCTCTGTAAAAAATCAACAAAATATATTTTTTAAAAAGAGTAGGAGAAAGGTTATTTTTAGTGGAACTGGACATGATGGAAGGAAGGGATCCCTTTAATTTTATAGTCGCTCAGATAATAAGGGCTAAAGAAGCTTTACCTGAAAGAGAAAGGATCTTGGATATCTGGGGCCAGTGCTTCTATGTGATTAGAGAATGGGATCACTAACCCACAATAGGAGATCTTTTAGTTACAAAACCAGTTTAATACATTTTTCCCTGTTTTTATAGAAAATAGTGGGAATTTTCTTCCATGTAACAATAGTGACAGTAAAAAATTTAAAAAAAAATTTCAATGTAGAGAAGCTGTCAGGGAAGAGAGATTTGTCATTCTGTTTTATTGACATACTGTTTTCTTTCATCCGGTCCTACTGCTCATCTAATAATCTCTTACCTCATCTCTAGTTACCAACTGCCAAGATCTCAACCCTGGCTGCACATCAGGATGACAAGTAGAACTTGAAAAAAATAAACCCAGCTCTAGCTGGTTTGGCTCAGTGGTTGGATCATTGGCCCATGGACTGAAGGGCTTTGGGTTTGATTCGGGTCTAGCTCGGTTGCCTGCCAGCCCAATACCTGGCCCTGGTCAGGGTGCAGGCAGGAGGCAACCAATATATATTCCTTGCGCTCACATCAGTGTTTCTGTTTTTCCCCCTCCCTTCCACTCTATCTAAAAAATCAATGGAAAAAATATCCTCTAGTGAGGATTAATAATCAATCAGTAAGTAAGTAAATAAATAAATACAGGGGCTCCATTCCAGATATACATTTGAAACATTCTCTGGTCGTCAAGTCTAGGCATGTTTTGTTTTGTTTTAATCTCTACAGATGATTCAAATGCATAATTAGGTTTGAAAAAAACACTTCCCCATTCCCAAGCCACTCAAACTCAAGGCTGTTCCCTTGGGAGGGCCACATGATTTCATCCTTTACATATACTATTTCTTCACTTAGAATACTCTTCTCTCTCTTTTGAAAAAATCTATCTTTATTGTTGAAAGCATTACAGGTGCCTCCCTCCTCCCCCCATTGGTTCCCTTCACTTATTTAATTGTTACTTCTTCAACACCCTTCAAATTCAGACATACCCTTCCTTGAATTCCCATTTCCTCACCAAGTGGAATTAATTGCTTTGTTAGCGTTTTGTTCACACGGAAGAAGCCCTCTCCTAGATGCAGCCTGGACCTATAGCCAAGCAATAAATTGAGGGAAAAAATTAACCACTGAATTGTACACTATATTTGTAAGGATAAACTTGCTGGTGTATAAATTATATCTAAATCTGTTTAAAAGGAAAGTCACTCAAACCAGAGAGCCATGAAAAAGTATAACATAAATACCTTAAACATTTTGTTTTATCCTAAAACAACTGTTTCCTCATTTGTCACTCGTTTGAGAAAGCCAGAATCTTTTCTTTATACATGGCCTGATGAATAAATAGAGTTTTTCATTGTATCTCTTGCATAAACTATGCCTCTAAATCATCAGTTAAGCTATCCCACGATTTTCTTCCTTTAGGAGGAAAATACCTTCATGATACTTGTGGAGCTGAGTAAGATCTCTTCTTTATAATCTTTCATTGTATCTAACATTCAAAAAACTCACCTTTATCGGGTGCTGCCAAAATATTAAACATAGATTTTAAACTAACAACAAACTTTATTTCCACTCTATTTCATTGGTTTATCTAACATTAAATTGTGAAAGCACAGCAACAAGTACAACTGGCATAAACAGATTTGGGAACAAACACAAGTAACCTCTCAGAGTGTACAAATCAATTGGTTAGGAGCAGAACTGGGCAAGCTCTCTACAAAGGACCTTCTTAAACATGTAGCATTAAGCATAATATGGAAATTAGCAACTTAGGATTTACAAAATAAATAGAATGAGTTAATTGGTTAGAGATTGTTATTAGACTTAGACAGTATCTCCCTTACTTCCTACATTTTAATTATTTGACTATGTGTCTCTTTCTACAGAGACTTAGAACATTTTGATGGCAGAGATAGTTCCTGGGTGTTAAGGGGAACTATTAGGGAAATCCCCAGACATTTTTATATTACCATGTAAATCTTCTCATGAGAACAAGTGGATTTAAAAAAAAAATCTGAACAGTTGTTTTTAAGCCATTTACATTAAGGCCTATGGGTACTTCCAGAAAAAGACATATAACATGAAATTATTTTTGTTACAAGCTCTGTTAGTTTCCTAAGATTGTCATAATAAATTACCACAGATTAGATGGCTTTATTTTTTATTTATTTTTTTTTA